CCGTAAATTATGTAATGAACTGCGAGAACCAGATTTTATACCTGATGAAAGGTATGTTCAAGTTGATTTAAATGCATAGAAATAGATAGTACTTCCTTTAATATATGTTTGTATATTCTTGTGTATACAATTACGTCACACAGCTTTTAAAACTTTACGGTATGTGTTTAATCTTGTAGTCCATGCGAAGCATTTTAAATGTGATTTTAATTGTCATATGTACAAATGCTTCCTTTATTATATTTTTTTTTTGTGAATTTTGGGTGTTCTATGACGTGTTGTTTAATTACATCAAATAACTTGAAAACTGTGTGGTTAATCTTGTAGCCAATGCGAAGGATTCAGAATTTACACAGACATTTCAGATGTTGATGGTATAAACTTTATTAACCGTCTCAAACGTACCAAGGTAAGTTTGCAATCATGTGTTACTACTAAAGCATGTTCATTACACAATACCAATTGACAAATCGATTCGAAGACAGAATAAAGGAAACTGTTATAAAGTAGACCTAACACTTTAGCTATCAGGTCACTGTCTAAGGAGGACATGTTCTACACGGTAACGACAAGATTTCACCTTTTTAGAAAAAAAAAAACAGATACGCAATAACGTATAACAGTTTGGCATAACAGAAAACAAGGAACAAAAATATTATTCGAAGGTCATTTCATTAAGTACACACCCAGTGGTTACTTCAGAAGCTTAAGTTGAATATTTTAAAATTACTACAGCATTGTATGTTTATTGAACAGTTCTTAAGTTATTTTATATTACTCTATTCGACACTGGGGATTCAATACACTATTATAATTTACTAATTATGTCCTGGTTAATATGTAATATAGTTAGATAGTTTTGGGATGGAATTCATATTACTATTATCCAGAAATTTATATTTTCACTCGACTTAGCTCATTATTTTGTGGAGCTGCTTCTCTGTCGATGTGCTAATCGTTAACTCACATCAACTACTAGCATGTTATGTTCGACACACTTTATTTTGTAAGCTGAAATCATAAAGGACAAATACATTACTGTAAGTTATGTTGTTGCACAATCACTGGCGTAATGAAGGAGCCGCATGTCTATAGCCTATGTTTACTAAATTCATTGAGCACATGTGGGGTGTTTGGAGGGCGAATTGCAAGATCACTTTCGAGAGGTTTTGAGCAACGCCCGATGCCATCTTGCGCTGTCGTCGGGGAATAGCCCTCCAATTCATCCTCACCACGTAGTCCCTTCAGACCATCATCGGCCAAATCATGAGGAACCCCTGCGAACAGGAAGTTTTCTTTACGCTATGGATTTTCTGTACCACTTTAATTATGTATTCTGTAGACGCTTACCTGTTATATCCTGGGTTCAAAGCAAATGCAGAGTTTCAGGGACCTTGCGCTAATGCGGAATTGATAGGTGTCTGATTTGTTACGTGTACCTCCTTTGATTAATAATGTACACATTTTCTATAATTTTCTATAATTTTCAGACCGCTTCATGGATTTCGTGTTGTTCCTGGTTGTTTCTATTTATCATCCAAGTAATCAAGACAGTAATAAAATCACGATCTGGAAACAGACCAACAAATAGACAGCAACGTGTGCCAGAGGGGCAGAAGTTCGAAATAATTAGTTAAAATTGAGGCGTACTGTACGTTAAAAAGCTAATGCCACATTTTTTTTGGTCAAATAATTTGAACATTTAGGCAGTTGGATATGTAGCTGGTGGTAGAAAAGCCAATTCGTTTGGATTTAATGATGATTAGTGATGGCGAGTGGTGGCGCCAGTTGGGGACCCGTCAGACAGGACAGGCCCCTTTCGTCCGGTCGTCGAATAAAAACCAATAATAATAATAATAATAATAATAATAAAATAATAATAATAATAATAATAATAATAATAATAATAATAATAATAATAAGGATGATGATGATGATGATAATTTTCCTATCAAAATAAC